GGGGGGTTCTTTAGTCGCTATCAATATAAGGATATATATATATCTGAATTTTTCTCCTACATATATTAATGAATTTATTTTGATTTAGCTCTATCGATTATTATTATTATTATTATTCCTTTTTAAAACAGTGTTTTATCGTATTTATAATATGCATGTATGTATATGAAAATTCGATGCGCTGATGTGAAAACAGAACAAAAAACCTTGTTGTATATATATATAATATGAATGTTGCTTTATATATATATATTATATATATATTTGCGGAAGATATCATGCAAGAGGAGAGAATCATTTGTAATGTACATTATAAATATTACTATACGAATAGGTTACAAGATAGTATTTTCTGTTGTCAATTCTTCAACTAAGACTGTGATTTTTAAATATACTAATAATAGATATAAAGTATGATATACGCATTTTGGAATTATTATTATTATTATTATTATTATTATTATTATTATTATTATCATTACTATTATTATTACTAATATTATTATTTTATTATGCAAAAATCATGAGTGAATTTTGTATAACTTGGTTCATCATCAAATTCTTGTCTTTCTCCTTTCTGAAAATTCAAAGGACTAACAACAGACAGATTCCGGAAGAAAATGTTTTTATTAGAAAAAAAGAAAAATGATTTTTCTTTTATTGAAATGAAAGTAAGAAAGTATGAGGCTTATGAACACCGGTGAGTATATATATATGTATATATATATAGATGTATGTGTATGTGTAGTGCATGCATGAATAGTAGAGAAATACAGAGACAGAGATTCCGATTTGTCTATACCTAAACGTTACGTTGTAGGAAGTTAACATTGAAAGTGCTATACTACTGTATAATAATAATAATTCTAATAATAATAATAATAATAATAATAAAAAACGATTCGTTGCCTGCACGTGTGACGTAAGTAAGGTGAAATGGGGAAAGTTTCTATCTAGTAAAGGCCGTTTACGTATGTACGTACGTATCGTATTCTAATATGTAAATAGATTATTTATCTTAGAGTATAATTCTTAGTGAATTATTATATTTAATTATTTTTATATTTAAAAAAACATCTTAAAAATCTAAGATGAAAAACGAAGGTTTGATAAACGTACACAATGAAATGCATGAATTATGATGATGATGACGATGACGATGACGATGATGATGATGATGATGATGATGATGATGATGATGCTAGAGAAAACGATAGAAATAATTGTTGTACAATTAATTACATCGATATTATATTATGGCACGTGAAAAAAAAAGAAAAAGTTTCATTTGATATGTTGGGTGATCGTGAATTACGTTTGTTCGGGACAAAAAGAAATATGATTTAGTCGTTTTTAAAGTTTCGATCGTTTTCTCTTGCTATCAACAACCATCAAATGGGAATGATCAAATGACGTTTTTCATATCATTGAAAAAGGAAGAAGAAGAAGAAGAAGAAGTTATTGAATGTGTTGATATCATTTCTCTCGTTGCCTGCCTTTTGGCTGTGCAATCCCAGTTTTATAACGAGATTGAAAATCTTATTATTATTAATATGTATATAATTGTAATCGAAGACTTGTAAGCTTTCGTATTAATTTTTTTTTTTTGAAATTGACCTTTTTTTTTTTTTTAAATTGGCACAAAGAAATAAGATTCTTCTCCATGATTTGAATTTTGTTGTTGTTGTTGTTGTTATTGTTGTTGTTTGAATTGATAAAAATCATCGAGATTGATCTCTTGAAATAAATAATTAATTTTCTTTTTCTCCTTTATCAAGATTTTTGATCTTTCCATTGGAAGATACGTTCAATGTATCTTCGTAATCGTTTACGTTGCCATTGAATTTTTTCGTGTCGTTGGATTCGATTTTTCCATTGGTCAACGTCGTCGTCGTCGTCGTCGTCGTCGCTGTCGTTACACTTATTTTCTTTTCATGACCATCTCCATAGGCCATTTTATAAAAGTCAGAAAAAAGAAAGTAGAAGAATATTATATTTGGAAGAGTAAAAAATACGGACCACCTTGGATAACCGCAATCGTATATGAGCAATTGACAATTGTGCAAAAATGCCAAACAAAATTGTCCCTGTAAATTGTTAACATTTGATTATTTGTCACAATTTATGTTTAAATCGTATTACATTGTGTTAACTTACCATTTGCAACGTCGTTATGTATCTTTTCCACCATAAATATTTTTGATATTGTGGTAGTAATACGGCTAATAAATAATACGTGTACATAATGATATGTACAAAGCTATTTATGAGACCTTGAGAATATGCATCAATTAATAATCATTAATTAAGTTATTTATTATGAAACGTTAGATTATTTCAATTACTTTCAGTTGGAAATGAATAATATTTGAATACCAACCTATGAAGGTACCGTGACCTCCTGGATAATATTTTACTGCACCCCAAGCGATCATTGGCATCACTGTATGATGATAAACGTGAAGGAACGTTACCTGTCTCTGTTTTTTTCGTAAAACAAAAAATACCGTATCGAGAAGTTCCGACATTTTAGCGAGAAAATATATGTAAACGCCTCTAGCGATCTGTGTAGAAAAAAAAGAAAGAAAATAATTCAATGATCAAAAAAAAAAAATAAAATTATTAAAATAATAATAACGTACTCTTAACGCTTCCGGTTTATTAGAAAAATCAACAGGTTCACATTTAAAACTGTAATTTCTTAACCAGGCGCCATCTAATGCTTCCCAAAACATCCAAATGCTTAATAGGACTTGCATAAAATTATAAATGACTAGAATGTTCTTTATTTGGAAGGGTTTTCGATGTTCCATGTATTTAGGACCCCAGGATCGTATAAAGTAATGGTAACCAATTAAAATACTAAGTCCTGGCACGGGTGAAGATATCATGAACCAATCACGTGTTCGTGGATCTAAGAATTAACGTAGACACTTTTTAATGTAAACATTTGTGTACATTTTATAGAAAAAAAAAAAAAATATATATTTTGTAATCTTTGTATTTATTAACACATTCGCGACAGCTGACGTAAATTTACGTCTTTTCAAGTTCTATTCCTGGTTAATGCTGACGTGATTCACATCATATTATACATTTTCAAAATTTAATATAAATATATATAAATATATAAATAAAAAAATTTATATTATTTTATAATTATTATCATTTTTTTATTATTATTTTATTAGTATTATATATATATATATATATTATAATATTATAATTATAATATAATTATTAATAATAATTATAAATAATAATAATAATAATAATATTATTATTATTATTATTATTATTATATTATTATATTATTTTAATATTATATAATATATATAATTATAATATATATATATATTTATATATTTATATTATATTTTTATATATTATATTTAATATTAAATATAATATTTAAATATAATATTTAAATAATTATATTTTATTACATTTTATTATTTAAATATAAATTTAAATAATTTAAACTTATATTTATATACATATATACAGAATATATGTAAAAATTATAGTTTTTTCAAAATTTTCTTATTTTTGTCGTTACTTACAATTAGTATAAGAAACGGAAAAAATATGCCGGCCGCGAATGTGTTAAGGTGAAGCAAAATTTCGTGCATTTTGATTGCGTTGAAACAATACTTTGAAAGAATTAGAAGTATGTACTTTCTATAAAATTCTTAGATAACGGGATTATATTGATAAAAATAATACATCCATAAAAATACACGAACTTTTGATTCTACTCTAATAACATATCCTCCCTCTTGTACTATTTCATCAATCCCTTACCCGATAATTCGTAAAAAAGGAAATGCCATATTCGGACGAACGAGTTGTCGTAAATGTTGGCCATTTTGTCGATCGGTGGTACTGCTTCGGTGATATTCATTTGGATGATTAACTGAAATCAATCAAATTAAAATGATAATAATAATAATGCTATATTTTCTTTTTTTTGTGTGTGTGTAAAAAGGATGCACAATGCAATTTGATCTTCGTCAAAATGAATTTTATTTTGGTCGATTGCAGCAACAAGTGATTTTCTCGAGAAATGTCGTTAGAACACTTTTGCCGATCCTGACCTAGCGGTTTGCATTTACCATAAGTAAGATGATGATGATGATGATGATGATGATTGACTTGGCCGTATAACCTACTCGTTTTCTGATCGCATCGAATTCGAGAAGTATAAAGAAAGAGAAAGAGAGAGAGAGAGAGAGAGAGAGAGAGAGAGAGAAAAGGAGAGAAAGAGAAAAACGTTTTTTTTTTTTTTACGAAAGTTTAAGAATAAAGAAATAACTGTTTTCCGGAAAAGAAACTCGTTCGTTTGCAATCAGACGTGACGACGATGTCGCGGTGCGCATTGCTGCACTGCTGCATCATTTCAAACGTACGATTTTTGCAATCAATTCATTATGTATAGTTTCAAAATCAAATTACAATACAATAAACACCAGGAATTTAGTTTAAAGATAAATATTAATATTTGCAACATCGAGATGGTAACAAAATATGAATGAAATCAGATGATTCATAGTAAAAAGAATTCTCGAGAATGTGTGCCAACATTTTGGATTATTATGTCAGTTTAGTGGTCTCGTATCTTCTTTATCCAAGTTGGTTTAGTATTTTCTATGTTATTTGTTACTCTAGGGCAAGAATACCGGTTTACAAGTAAGTCATGCAAATACACGTTCGAAGAAATGCATCAGTGCATGAGTTCACTGACACCATCATGTGTGTCTCTTTCCGCTTACAACCGATTACTCTTCTTTTTTATTTCCTTTGAGCTTTTTTTTTTACGTATTAAAATATGGCTTTACAAATTTTCTAATAGAAATTGTAATTTTGATCAGAGTTTATTAACCTCTTATAATTTATGATTGTTTGTATCGTAATCAACAACGAGTTCAATCATTTTACGATTTGGCTAACGTAATTGTACATTTGACATATGATATTTCACATTGAAACCTTAAATTAATTATATAGGAAGCATACGAAAGACTAGCCACTATTATGGGGAAAATAATGGGGGAACGAGTCCATTCCATTCTGAGCTGGTCATGCGATGACACAATAATATCACCGATTTCCTACTTGCTACGCTTTCTTTCTTTCACAAATTTCAAAAATTTATTCTGTGATATTATGTTTTTATAAACAAATGATCCTATCAATGATCCTGTTAATTAAACACAAATATTTTTTAACACTAGATATACCAGATCAGTCATTTTGACTAGTCAGGCCATTTTAATTCAAAATGTCTACTTCATGTAACATCTGATTTCTGTAAATAATTAATCGTTTTGTTATGTAAAAATGTTTATAAATTCATTTATCTATTAAAATTATTATTGTTAAACATTTGTTGTTATTTTGTAAAAGTAAATAAAGACTGGAAGCCTCCAAAAGCATTTTTATTTATACACCAGTCATTTTGACTAGTGTGCTGGAAGTAGGTATACTCAAAATGGTGGTATATCTAAAGTTAAATAATTTTATAAAATGTAAATTGGACTCTTTCTCTCTTTCTTTCAAAAATTTCAAAAATTTATTCTGTGACATTATGTTTTTATAAACAAATGATCCTATGAGTGATCCTGTTAATGAAACAAAAATATTTTTTAATACTAAATATACCAGATCAGTCATTTTGACTAGTCAGGCCATTTTAATTCAAAATGTCTACTTCATGTAACATCTGATTTCTATAAATAATTAATCGTTTTGTTATGTAAAAATGTTTATAAATCCATTTATCTATTAAAATTATTATTGTTAAGCATTTTTTGTTATTTTGTAAAAATAAATAAAGACTGGAAGCCTCACAAAGCATTTTTATTTATACACCAGTCATTTTGACTAGTGTGGTAGAAGTAGGTATACTCAAAATGGTGGTATATCTAGAGTTAAATAATTTTATAAAATGCAAATTTTACTTTTTCTTTTTTTCACAAATTTTAAATTTATTCTGTGACATTATGTTTTTATGAAAACAAATGATCCTGTTAATTAAAAACACAAATATTTTTAAAATAATTTTATAAAATGCAAATTTCACTCTTTCTTTCTTTTTCTTTCACCGTTCAATGACTTTCAATTTGTGATAGCTACGCAGGTATCCAACCAACGAGCCAATAGTACTATCTCTCACCTTTCTCTATCAGTCGTTTACTTTTAAATATCTGGGAATAAGGATTACAGTATTATTATGAGATTGGGTTCGGTGAACGACTAACGTAACATACTACTTTATTGAATTTCCGCGTGCCTAACAACTCGTTCCTTCGTAAATCATTTCCGCAAAAATATATATTCCTTTCGACTATTCGAGAAAACATGCTTCACACCATTTATATCATATGTTATATTATTATTATTGTTATTTAATATTAATAAATAATTTATCTATATACATACACACTCTCATTAAATTACATGAGATATATTTGATTTAGATTTTTAAAGAAAAAATAAAAGCCCATTTTTCTAATTAAACAATAAAAAGTGTAAAAATTAGATGAATTAGGTGAAATGTAGAGATAAATGATTTGATATCTTACCGTGAAAGATAAATTGAAAATGAATCCACACGAATCAAGTAGCACGTGTCAATGTATAAATCAACAAACACCCTGATTAACAGAATATCAAATACTCCAAAAGCGTATTTTGGGGTATGATGACTTGCAAATTAATCTGTTTGTTTGGTTTTTTTTTGTGTTCTACCTTATTTCAATAAAATATATTTTATCCTTCCTTCCTATTTTTTCTTTTTTTTTCTAATGGCGTTAAAAAGAATCTTTCGATAATAGCGATCATTTATAATTACAATTAATTTTAGATAGAATTATATATACATGTATACATATATATATATATGCATGTATCAGAATTTTCGATTACTAAGCACACGAATCACCAGTGTTTTCAGTATAACTGTCTGATCGTATCAAAAGTGTACTCGAAAGACGCGCTCGCGCACGCGACCTGTTATACTATATCAAGTTACGTTGAAGAAGTGGGGTAAGATCACCTGCGATTATAGATTTAACTAACATGTATTCCCCTCTCCAATACTCTCCTTCTTACATGGACGTATATATACTTTCGTATAGCTTACGTGTTATACTAACTGGTATATTACAATGTAACGTTGAAAGTTGTTGCTTGTGTATTAGTAGGTGGTCGGGGGGGGGGAGAGAGAGAGAATTATTCGTTGGAACTTTCGTTTGATTAGATTTTTTGATTTTTTGTTTTTGTTTTCCCTTTCTATTTGCCAAGAAAACTAATGAAACAAGAACAACAACAGCATAATTGGTTTGTATATTGGGATTGTTCGGAAAGTTCGTGCCGATTTTGACGGAAGATTGAAATGCAACGTATTTAAGGTTTTTTTTTTTCTTTTTTTGCTATATTTTTATTAAATAATATGTAAGTGTCATTTTTTTAAATGACCTAATCCTAATTTTACCATCCTAATTTTATTAGGATGGATCAAAATACTTTGAAAGTAAATTTGACAAAAAAAAAAAATAATCCACTATAATTTGATTATATTGTTTATTGTTGTTATAAAATTTCAATTTAGTATTTCGCTAAGATTTCAAACATATTACTAATTGTAATTGTAAATTAGAATATCAAAGTTATTTGCTATGACGTATATGCAAAAAATCGTGACGAATTTAAATAGAAATTAAAATCGATTTATATTCTGTAATAATGTTTGTAAATATTTTGTTATTTAGTTTTTACGTAAACACGTCTTTTGTTATATATATATATTTTTTTGTAATTTACGTCTTAAAAATAAATTGAATTGATTTTTTCTTTCAGAATTATTTTGTTAAAGTAAACACCTGGCCTAAAATTACTCTTTGTTTTCAAATAACGCGAACGAAAGTTCAAATTTATGGACAGTGTAAACCCCATTTACATAATGATACTAGTTAAAGTTATGATTGTTTTGAATAATTACTTTGTGAGTGATTTATTTTTTTAGTTGACGATTGGTCTGAATTATATTATTCACGGTGGGTATTTTATCGGTAATATATACGGAATATTTCCCGTTTAAATATTCAAATGAATTAATGTATACATTCCTCTCTATAAACAAATAAATGAAAAAAAAAAAAAAAAGAAACGAAAAGAATTTCACATCGTCATAAATACATTATACTAATACATTCACACACATACAGACACCTAACAAACATTTAAAATTTTCCATAAGATTTTTTGATTGTCTCTTAACATACAGAATACTCAGAAATACATAACCTTCTTATCACTGTTAATTATTTGCTTACATATTAATCAGTGTAATTAACTATTAACCGAATCTTTCATAATATTCTATCAATTATTCATTGATTTTTATTTCATATTCATTTTCATATATTTATTTCATATTACGAAATTGCTAAGTTTGTTCTAAATAACGTAATACGAAGAAGAAGAAGAAGAAGAAGAAGAAGAAGAAGAAGAAGAAGAAGAAGAAGAAGAAGAAAAAGAAGAAGAAGAAGAAGAAGAAGAAAAATAAACAAGTTCTCGCATTTATTAGAAGTGCAATGCTAAAAAGAGAAATTGAGAAATTGCACGAGGTAAATTATCGAATTTGTGCGTTTGGTTGAATTTTTATCTATACTTTTTATTTTCATTTTGAAATCGTAGAAAATAATATTATAAAATTATATTTAGTTGGATTTTAATAAGTAAAACATATTATATATAAAGATTGTGTAAGAATAAAAAATGTACTAATGAATAAAGAATATATTAATTTAATTTATATTAAATAGTCAATATATATATATGAATATACAGTAAAGAAATGATAACGCATGTTTTATATGACGCAGTACATTTGTATGTAAAGTCGTTGAATTTAAATATGACAAGTCAGACAATGAAATTAATGTTTCATAGCGAACAATTTCTATGATAATTCGATTCAAACGAACTATGAAAAGAACCAGAAAAGAAAAAAAGAAAAAAAAAATAATTACATAGACAATTCTTCAAACAACTTATGGTAGTATTAAACAGTTAGATTGTGATATAATTTTATACAATTATAATTATACATTATATTGTTATACTATATTATACACATTACATTTTTATATTGTTATACATTATAATATTATTATATATATTACATAATATTAAAACAAAATCAATGACACGTGTTTATAATTAAAAATTGAAAATAAATCAATTTTTGCTGATTTCGTAATGAAATAATTTCAACATCAAACAGGATTATAATGGATTGCGACTTGATAATTGCGTAAAATGCTTATGCGAATATTATTATTGATTTGTAATAAACTGTGTTGCGTATGGACCATTACGAAGAGAGAATCCCGGTTGCGGAACTTTATTCTTAGGACGGTAAACGGTAATTGCGAACAAAACGCAATGAAAAATGTTTGATCATCGAAACGTTTTGAAATTTCTGTCAAGGTAAACAATCCTTACAACTCTACGAGGCTTTTCTATTTATTTTTTCTCATTTTTTTTTCTTCCTTTCCCTTTCCTTTTCTTTCATTTGTTTTTATTGAGTTGTTCGGAAAGTAATTCCGTTTTTTTTGTGTGTGAAAATGAAAGACAATTTTCGTATAATGAACAATTATTTTATTAAATTATATACTGGCTATTCTGGTCCAATACCTTTTGCCATCTTTCTGGTAGTAGCATGATTCCACGCTCATAAAAGTTTTACTTTTTGCTGGCAAAAAACTGATCGAGGTGGTTTTTGACCTCCTCATTTAAAGTGAAGGTTTTACCGTTTAAAAAATTTTGCAGTGATCGGAACAAATAATAATCTGAAGGTGCCAGATTTGGAGAATATTGTGGGTGTAGCATTGTATCCCATTCAAGCTGTAGAAGTGTTTAGCGAGTGACCAAACTTGTATGAGGTTGTAAGAGATTAATGAAATTTGCTTTTATTGGGTCTACAAGTAAGTTTCCAGCGTTTTTGCATAAAATTTGAGGGTTTATTCTGAAAAAATGGTTACATATTTTTCATTCAAAATGTTGTCCATCGGAAGATACAATTTTTCCCATCTTTCTGGCAATTTGTGAATTCCGGACCAAAAAAAGTTCTCGTCTTTTGAGTCCAAGAACATATTGAGCCAATTTTTGATTTCTTATACTGAAGTGAAGCATATTCCGATAAGAGCGTTCTGCGTCGACCGAAACACGTGGTAGTTGGATGGCGCCAAATCTGGACTATAAGGCGGGTGAGGCAGAATTTCCCATCCACTATTATCCAAGTAGTTTTTGACCGAAGCAGCAACATGTGACCGAGCGTTGTCGCGGTGAAAAATTACTGACTCGTGCCTGGTCTGATATTCTGGCCGTTTTTCCGCCAATGCCCGCTTCAAACGAATTAGTTGGGTTCGATACAATAGTCCTTTGATGGTTTAACTACTCGGAAGCAGTTCGTAGTATATGACACCCTTCTGATCCCACCATATGCAGAGCATGATCTTATTCATGTGAATATTTCGCTTCGGCGTCGATTTGGCCAGCTCGCCAGGCTTTGCATATGTTTTTTTGCGTTTAGGATTATCATAACAGATCCACTTTTCGTCACCAGTGACAATACGATGCAAAAACGACTTTTTTTTTATGCCGCTACAGCAACATTTTTGACATGCAAAATCGCCGTTCGACATCTCTCGGCTTTAACTCATACGACACCCAATTTCCAACTTTTTGGATGAATCCCAAAGCTTTCAGGCGCAAGAAAATGGTTTATTGTGTGACGCCCAATGCTGCAGCAAGTTCTTTTTGAATTTGACACGGATCCTCATCCAGCAAAGCCTCCAATTCCTCGTCTTCAAAATTTTTCGGCTTTCCGGAGCGCTCCTTGTCTTCAACGTCAAAATCACTATTTTTGAACCGTTTGAACCACTCACGACACGTCGATTCACACATACATTCCGTCCCGTAAGTTTCCAGAAGCAAACGATAGGCCTCAGCTGTACTTTTCTTCATATTAAAGAATAGAAGCAGCGCTTCCTGCAAATGACGCTTATTTGACACATAACTTGCCATGTTTTTGCTTCATAAAATATACGACGCCGATAGAAATGCGCCAATATGATGATGCAATGTTGTTAACAGATATACAAGCTTTGTAAATGACACATGAGATGTGACATTTCTGCCCGGAATCTTCTCGTGATACCATCTATTAAAAAACGCTGGAAACTTACTTGTAGACCCAATACTAATTTAAAGATTTTTATTTAGAGGTTATTTAGGTTCTGTAAGCTTTCAATAGATGGCGCTGTATTACAATTCAATTATTTCGATATATTCACGTCCCGAAGCTTGGTTTTTTTTTCCAAAGTTTCACTTCTATCGTGTGTGATCTGCACACATCTGTTTTTTTTATTTTTTAAATAAGATAACTTTGATTTACTTTGACGAATGGTCACGAGTATAAACTTAAATCCGGACTAATATCAGATTGTATAACATATTAATGTTTTATTTCTTTTTTTAGTTTTTTATCATCGAATATATTTCGTAATCATAGTTTTTGAGATATAGAAATAATACTGTCATAAAGTCAATGTTCACGTATGGTGTGGGATCACTTGTAAAGAATTTTTCTAAGAAAAACGTTAAAAAATAACGCAAGATTCTTCATGATTTCAAAATTGCCATAAAAATAAATCTTTTCTTTTACTAATAAATTTGTATTGTTGCGATTATTTTATTATGCGTGACACATAAAACGACAGTCAAGCGAAGCTTCGTCGTTTACATTACGTATAATGAAATTATTAGAAAATTTTACAAAGGAATAATAAATAATTAATCAAATTAAATTGATTGATATAGCATTTAATTAACTATAATATGATACGATTGTAAGCTATAATATATAAGGAAAAGGAAAATTTGCGTTAACTTATCACCGACACGTACTATTTTGCATTTTAATGCAATTAAGATTTTAAGATAAACAAATAAGAAAAACATGGAAATATTGGAATATAGGTACAATGGATTTCTCCTTATTTTTAAACAATTATTTGCAAATATTATTTTTCTCTCAGATATGTATATGTGTCATCTATATTGTAAAAATATCATAGATCAAACGTACATCGTTTGAATTCAGTTACGTACGAGAATAATTAATTTCTCTTATAAAACGTTATCCTGGATTGTTATATATCGGCTAATTGTTATTCTGTTTATAACTTTTTCCACTTGACCCCAAGAGTTATTCAATAGAATAACAAGATGTTTATATATATATATATATATATATATATATTTATAAAAACAAAGGGACCACGGTAAGATGTATGCTTGAAACGTCATCGTGAT